TTTTGGAGTGGGGGAGGTTTGAATGTGGAGGTTCGGGTATGAGGTGGATTTCTTGATCTGTGTCGGATGTGTTTTAATTTTGGAGGATGACACTGTGTTGAGTTTTGTTGTCTTTGATGTGTGGTTGTTAGTTGACGTTATGAGCGAAGTAGTTTGGCATCCTGTCTCGCAAATGTAAAGAGTTGGTGACAGGATACTCACTTAGGTTTTGATTCAGCGGAGGGGATTCATGCCAGAAACTGATACATTGTCTTCATTTATTTGTGTGTGTTTCATTCCTTCGACAAGCACTCGTGTTATCTTTCCAATCCCATATCAATCACATCACCCCCGGTCCCTTCATATTTCCACCTACGCAATATTTAATCACCTTCCGCCCCCTCCTTTCTCCCCACTCCACCTGCCATTCTTGTACACAGCCTTGTCACCTCCCGCATCGACTATGCAACTCTCTTCTTTCGGTCTACACCCCACAATACCTCCATAAACTTCAACTGGTTCAGAACTCTGCAGCTCGGATCATCTCCAGAACCCCCCCATCCATCACATCACCCCTGTTCTGCAGCAACTCCACTGGCTCCCGGTTAAACTCCGCATTGACTACAAAATTCTCCTGTTTACGTTCAAGGCCATCCATAACCTTTCCCCTCCTTATCTGTCCAAACTCCTCCACATTGCCACCCCTTCCCGTTCCCTCAGATCTGCCTCCTCTGTCCACCTCTCTGTCCTCCCGCCCGCCTCGCTCACCATGGGGAGCAGGGCTTTTCAGCTGTCTGCCCCCCCGACTCTGGAACTCACTCCCACCGGACCTCAGGAACCTGGACTCTCTCACACTCTTCAAATCAAGACTAAAAACTCACCTTTTCAGAAATTGCATACCCACTTAACTGTATACATTGTCTTTTCTTATCTGTTTCTTGTTTCTTACTGTTATTATTTTTTTGTGTTGTACGGTGTCCTCGAGTCCCAGAGAGGCGCCTTTAAATAAAATGTATTATTATTATTATTATTATTATTATTCATAATCCTTAGATGAGTGTCCACCACCTATGGGACGCAACAGCAGTAACAGTTACTTCTGCATCCACTGGGACGCAGTCAACTTCAGTTCCTGTTAATACAGCATTTAACTTTTCCTCTTCCACAGTTGGAGGCTCATTTGAGAAGAGTTCATCAGTTATACCAACTGTAACAGCAACAGCAACTAAATCTATAGAGACAGAATCCACCAAAACCTCAACACAACCTTAAAGCACTGAAGCAGAACTAAATACAACAGTTGTAGCTACAACATCTAACACATTTCCACCAGTGTCTGTTCTACCATCATCACCAAAACAAATCACTGACTGCACCATCAGTCTCTACCACAACACCTCCACCAACAGCCATGGTGCACTCAACAACAAGACAACACAGAGTGCCTTCGACAGACAAGTCAAATAATGCGATGATAGAAACCACAGCTACAACACCAACTCAAGCCACTACCAAATTTGCCACAGAATCAATTTCCACAGTGAAACAAAGCATAGTATCTTCCATAACACACCCAGTCACAACACAGAGTTTGTGATATGAAGCAATAACAGCAGCTACAACACAAGCTCACACTATCCTATCTACAACAAGGCACACTACAACAAACAAAGGTCAAACTAAAGCATCCTTGGCAACCGCATCTACAGTCACACCTATGAAATCCACAGAACCAGTTATAACAGAGTCTACAACACCATCACAAGATACACAATCTGCTGAAACACAACGCTCATTCATAGCAACAAAACCCAACACAACCCTACTAAAAAATACATCAGTAGTCTCAACACGAAGTACATTATCTGCGGCAACAGGATTCACCACCACATCAACTGAAAGTAGAAGAACAGAAATACCATCAGACGTATCAACAACAGATAAACAAGACCAAACAAAATCTGTTACTGTTGTAGCATATGTGACAACAGATTCAGTCACTTCACCAACCCCTATATCAGCATCCTTAATACCAGCACTGCCCACAGCTTCAAAAGAAAGCCCTGGATCAACTCATAGCTTTTCACAAACAGTCACTGCACCCAACACCTCAACGATCCTCAACAGCAGAATCAAAGCATCAATCTCTTACATTACCTCAGACTGACAAGACTATAAATGTTGAAACAGCCTTGGTGTCTGTATTGACACATGGACCACCTACCCAAAGTCCAGGAATTATTATTGTTAAAAACACTGAACATCTCAATTACGTCTACGCCAACAAACATGTCAAATGCTTCTGCAACAGTGCCATCCAGCTCCAGCAATCAGCCTTTGTCATTTTCCTCGGCTGCATCAACCCTAAATCCTGACTAGCTGTTTCTCTGTTTCCAGTCTTTATGCTAAGCTAAGCTAACTGGTTGCTGCTGTAGTTTCATATTTACTGTACAGATATAATTCAGTATCACTCTTAACTCAAGTAAGTAAGTGTATCTTCCAAAATGGATACCTTGAACCTCGAATACATATCTTCAGCAATGTATTTTTATTTTATACCTAATACATCCACAGCAGTTGCAAAATCCTCGACTGACAGGTTGATCTTTTTAATTATGAATCTTCATTCTAGTAAATTATCTTTCTCTTTGAATTTCACAGATCCCAAAATTGCCCCCAGAAGTGTTAATTAGACACAGAAGGCTTGAAATCCTTATTTTCAGTCTCACCTTCACCGTATGCTAAATAGGATGTTTCGACAATGATTATTTGCCCTGAAATGCTTTCAAATGAGCATATCCAAAAACATAATAGCAGGAAAATGCCTGTGAAACTCACAAGTCACATGTTCCATTCTCCCAAAATATGTAGATTTATTGTATGTGATGCGACTGACACACCTGACAGTTCTCAGACTGAATGATAATAACCTTCTTAGCTGTCCATTGATTTTTTGCAGCAGACTGTTAAATAGCCTAAACTGTTAGCTACGAAGTAGACAGTGTAAGCCATAAATAGATATATCACTTGGTTACAATTACCATAGATGGTTATAACAAGGATTGTTAAAGTAAGCCATGCACTGAATGATGTCCGTAGTGTTTCTTCTTACGTGTTTGTAGTGGTTAGGCCAGTTACACCCACATTCTGTTCCTTTTCACTTACGTCCAACCTTTGAAAATAAATTCTAAAAATAAAACCTCATGCTGATAACAAACCTATCACATTGTGCATTTGTAGTGCCAGTTTAGTCCATAGATCTATAGATCTCCCACAGAAAGTCAGTGGATCAGTTAAAAAAAGCACTGGTGTATTGTAATATATTATAAATGTCCAAAATACCTTTATTCATCTGGTATTATCTGACTGTACTCCCAAAAAGCTACACATATTACTGACGTCTGGTTGTTCAGGTAAGTGTAATTCCTCATAAGTGATTTGAATACACACAGTTATGTTAAACATATAAGTATGATCTTATTGGGCTGGGATAGAAGTCAGAAAGTGTGTGTATCTTGCAGTAATCCCAACCCAGTCAGTCAGTCAGTACAGGGTGGGTCATTGCTAAATTTGGCAGTTAAAGACATGACGTTGCCATACCTTTTTACTAGCATATTTTACACATGACTTTCCATTAACTTTGAATATGGGGCAGGGGGGGTTTCAGGCCATCTTTCTGGCTGGCCAGGGGTCCAGAAATGGACACCATTTGCAAAGTGTCCTATCATAGCATGCCATGCTGTTTTGTTTTTGGTCGAATAACATTGCATTATGTAATATCCTTGATATATCTAACATACGCCTCAGGATGGATGCAAATTCAAAATAAATTCATTAAATAATACAGAAGAATTAAATAGTATAAAGAAAAAGGCCAAAAAAGAACACCTTACAACTAGGCCCAATAAAAGCAAACATTGTTCCCAAAAGTGGTTTGAGATAAACATGCAATTGAATACTTCATAGAAGGTATGAGGTCACAAAAAAATAGTTACTGCTACCCAACGAATAGTCAACCCAAAAAGTTTTTTTAGGATTTTTGCATTAAGATTTACTATTTCTATTTAGAGTCCTGGGGTGCACATCTCGTTCGGTTGAGGCGCCACCAGTTGTTGGTTGGTCTTATATTTGATTACTCGCAAAACTGACTATGGAGCGTTTGTTGTGCAACAGGAAGAAGATAATAAAAAAACAGAAGGAAAAACAACGTTCCTGACTAGCTATCCAGTCATTTGGGCCAGCTTTCACTGGTTTATTCAGCTTGACCAAGCCTGGATAAAGGTTGTTACATTCCAGCTCAAGTGAACAACCACGACGTCATTATCTTTATCTCATTTTCTAGTCCCTTCATAGCAGGTAAGGCTACAAGGGCATAACCTTAATAATTGGGGTGTATTGAATAGTAACATGGATAATATTTTGGGAGATTGGTTGAAGTTAACAAAAAATAATTTTGACATGAAATTTTGTGGGAATTTCTGCATTGCTTATTTGTCTTTGTTCCAGGCCACAGTGACTCATCACAACTGACCTTAACCACAATCCTTCCTCTAGTTAGTCCCCAAAGAAAAAACTGGGCTGGTTGCATGACTTTTGCAAGTATCTGTAAACACACTCAGCCAGTACCAGCCAACAACAACACAAAGCTGGTATTTTATGTAGTAACGATATTTAGATTAATGTATGTTTATTTATGATAAAGTGCGATAAAAGTTTGGCCTGGGTACATTAAGACACCTGTAGCATTTGTTGGTTATCCACTCTT